TCTTGGCAAAGTAACATTATCCCCATGGTTTTCAGATTATGTCTATATTTTCCCAGCTGCAGATTGGCCTTGTAAGAGCTATTTTGTGTTGGCTATTTTGCTGACAAAAGAGACTATTCCCTGAGGGTAGGGCTACAGGTGGATTTCTGCACAACAGTGGCAATTTCAGTTGTGAGTCTCTCAAAATACTGTGGACAACCTTTTGAGCCCTTGGCATGGAAGCAAAATGGTCTTCCTGTACTCAAAATACCAAGATCAGATTCTTCACTTTGCTGCTGACTTAGTCATGCGGATAACTTCATCACTCTAAGACTGTATCTGCACTTTGGGAGTGTGGGAGTCTCTATATATCGAGACTGTCAGTTCTTTGGGGCAAAGACTGTGCTTCGTTGTGTATCTTGTGTCACTTCTCCCACAGTATCTGAGGTCCCTGATTGGTGAGGCTCTCCCAAGTAGTTGAACGACGAATTGTATTAATGAATAAACTGGTAAGCTTTCAACTGTTCTCTTGTAAAAGCAAAATACACCTGGAAAGTCTAGTGCCAAGGTATATACAGATATTGATACAGATAAAATCAACTACTGTATATCCACACTAAAATGTGTGTGTTGTGTTCATGCATGCACACGAGCAGTAATTACTTTCTGGTTTAACTAGGGAAAATATTTCTTTCTATTTCAAGCTTAGTCAAGGGAATTAAATCCTATGGATTGGAGCAAGGGCAGGGAAGTTACTGCTTGAGCGCTTGGCTTCTGTTGTCAACTTTTAGGATGTGCCTGAGTTGTGCTCCTATTTCCTCCATGAAGTTGGATGAGCAGCTGGGTAGGGGTGGGGCAAAGTTGTGGGTGGGAAGTAAAGCCAAGATGACTTGAGACTGCTTTCTTTAGGGGGTAAAATGACGACTGTTCTGTCCCCAGAGTTCTCCACTTCAGAGTCCTAAAGCACTTCATGGGTAAGAGCTAGCAGCAAGGAAACCTCCCTGGTTTTTCTTTAATTATATTTAGGGTGTGCTCAAATATAATGTTCTTCCCTTGGGGAGGCTTACTGTGATTAACGTTTAGGAATTGCTCCTGGTAAGAATTAGGATTATGTATTTTAATTTCTGGCCATTGGGAATGGTGCCTGGTAAGCTGAGGAAGCCAGATTTCCAGATTTTCCAGCAGCTGCTAGGAATAAAGGGCTTCAGAAGCAGTTGTAAGGCATGGGTGTCTAAGCTTTTCGGCGCCGGGGGCTCCATGCCAGTTGTGAACATGGCCACCAAAAGCTGGTACCTTCACACACACATCTCCCATACACCAAAGCATGTGCATATGTACACACAGCATATTCTGGGAATACACATACATTGTATGGGTTTATCTACACCACATACTTTAAATCTGGCTTAATAGTCATTCCCAAGAACTGGGGGAATTGCAACTGGGGGGAGAGGGCAGGGATGGATGGGGCTATTCTAGACAACTCTGACAGAATCCCCAGCTCCTTTACCAAATTCCAGTTCCCAGGATTCTTTGGGAGTAGGCCATGACTGCTAAAAGTCATATAAAATCAATTTAGCGCAGCTAGACTCTTAACAACTGTGAGTCTTGTAAAGAAGTCCCTGCCCCCCCCCAACTCCACAATACTTACTAGCCTGCAAAAATACTTATTAGCCTGCTGGGGGCTGGCTGAGGAGATGGAGAGCTATGTCCCCATTGCAGCTGCTGTTTGTAGTACTGTGCTGGTGTGGAAGTTGAGGCTTCCCTCCTCTGGCAGCCCTCTTGGCTTCTGTGCTTGAAGAGGGACAGAGCATTCTCACTCACATCCATAGAACTCAGTGGAGTCACCTGCATGAATCATAGAATCATAGAGTTGGAAGAGACCACAAGGGCCATCGAGTCCAACCCCCTGCCAAGCAGGAAACACCATCAGAGCACTCCTGACATATGGTTGTCAAGCCTCTGCTTAAAGACCTCCAAAGAAGGAGACTCCATCACACTCCTTGGCAGCAAATTCCACTGTCGAACAGCTCTTACTGGGCAAAGACTGTGCATGAAGTACTTTATCACCTGTGGCAACTGGACAAGTGCTTAAATACAAGGCTGGTACAAAATTTCTATGTGGGAGGTGAGAGATAATGCAACCCTGACAGTAGAGAACTTGCCCAAAGCTACACCTTTCATGGCTAACCTCCTAAATAAAGTCAGGTTGAAGTCTAACCTTCTAATAAAGGCAGAATATCGCCAACATGTTGCCCCACTATTGAACGAATTGCTCTGGTTGCCAGTTACCTACTGGGATAAATTCAAGGTGCTGCTTTTGGTGTATACTTCTTCTTCTTCTTTAGCGATCACTTGTAGCCGAGTAAGATTGTCTTCCATAAACACAGTTTTAACAATGGGTCCATAAGTGACTGTGGGGGCCAGTTCTGGATTCACACGTCCTTCCACAGTGGGGACATTGGTTCCCGGGCAGGAGTTGATTACGGTGTGGATTTGCCAAACGTGCCTTCCTCTTAGCACGTTTCTCCCTTGCATCCTGAGTTTGAGTGTCTTCAAAGCCCATGGCACCTTTGGTAAAGGCTGTTCTCTAACTGGAGCTCTCGCAGGCCAGTGTTTCCCAGTTGTCAGTGTTTATACTACATTTTTAAAGATTTGCCTTGAGACAGTCTTTGAACCCCTTTTGTTGGCCACGAGCATTACGCTTTCCATTTTTAAGTTCGTAATAGAGTAGTTGCTTTGGAAGACGATCATTAGGCATTCGAATAACATGACCAGTCCAACGAAGTTGGCTGTTGAAGAATCATTGCTTCAACACTGGTGATCTTTGCTTCTTCCAGTACACTGATATTAGCTCGCCTGTCTTCCCAAGTGATGTGTAAATTTTTTCAGAGACACTGTTGATGGAATCTTTCGAGCAGCTGGAGATGGCATTTATAAGTGGTCCATGTTTCACAAGCATATAGTAAGGTTGGTAGTACAATAGCTTTGTAAACAAGCATTTTGGTTTCCCTGCGAATATTCCAGTCCTGAAACACTCTGCACTTCAATTGGGAGAAAGCTGCACTTGCAGAGCTCAGGCGATGCTGGATTTCGGCATCAATGTTGGCCCTTGTGGAAAGATAACTTCCTAGGTAGGAGAAGTGATCGACATTTTCCAATGTTTGCTGATGCAGCACTTTGGTTTTTTGGATGTTGAGTGATAGGCCAAGCTTTTCTTAAGCTTCTGTAAAGATATTTAGGATGGTTTGGAAATCATCCTCTGAGCGTGCGCACACTACGTTGTCATCAGCATACTGAAGCTCTATGACGGAAGTTACGGTAACCTTACTCTTTGCTTTCAGCCTGCTCAGATTGAAGAGCTTTCTTTCCATCTGTTCGATATATGATATCTACTCCGGTGGGGAGTTTCCCTTCGACAAAGTGTAGGATCATGGCAATGAAAATAATGAACAGAGTTGGGGCACCTGATCCCACTGTGAATGGTTATCTGTGATTGTTATCTGCGATTGTTGTGGTCATATTATCATGGAGGAGCTGAATGATGTTCACAAATTTATCTGGGCAGCCAATTTTCAGAAGGACAGTCCACAGGGCATTATGATTTACAGCCATACGCAGAACCAGGATACCTGAAAGAGAATCTCATTCTGCATATGTCCAGGCCATCACTGTGCTCTTCAGGTGAGGGCCTCCTGCAGGTACCATGTTATCAGGAGGTCCATTGTGCACAATGTAGGAATCAGGCCTTTAGTGTTGTGGCACCTGCCCTTTGGAATTCCCTCTCCTTGAACATTAGACAGGCTCTGTCTCTGTTGTCTTTTAGGCACCCTTAAAACTTTCTGGATGGTCAAATGGCAACTGTTGCAATCCATGTGTAGTTTGTAGCTTCCCCCCAACCCCCCCTGTAACTTTTCAGATCCAAATGTTCCAGCGTTTTATTTAAATCCCCTTTTCTTTGTGCTGCAGTGCTAGGGTGTCCTGGCAGTGTGCCAACTTAAATTCACTTATTGACAGGGCTTTTTTCAGCTGGAACTTGCTGGAACTGAGTTCTGGCACCTCTCAGGTGGGAGTCATTGCCATTACGAGAGAACAAGGGAGGTGTTCCTGGTGAGTTCTGGCACCTCTTTTTATAGAAAATAGCACTGCTTCTTGGTGATGTAGCCACTCCCATGTACTTCCTGTTGGTGTAATTTGGTGGAAATGAGCAAAGGCTTAGCATATCTTTATACTTTAGAAAAGTGGGGAGAGAAGTTTGCCCTTGGGCGCCATGGAAGAGTGCTGCTGGGAGAGCAGGTTCACTCTCTTTTGCTACTGGACTGACTGGCATTTGGTGGAGCTGGCTGGTGGTGGTGGCATGCATGTACGTGAGTGGAGTAAGGAGTAAGTGAGGACAGTGGTTATTTCCCCCTTTCCTTCTGCATTCGCTCTTGGGGCTGCAAATACATCTTTGGCCAACTGTGAGGTAAAGGGAGGGAAGAGGACTAGCAAGAAAGGGGAGGGTGACTCCTGAGGGAGCAAGAGGCACCAGTGGCATCAGGAGTATAGAGAGACATCCACAGCCGTCTTAAGTTTTTGGTGGCAGCTGTTAGTGGTGAGTAGGCGACCCGATTCCTGATTGTATTCCCTGCCCTAAAAGTCAGGATCTGTCTGGAGTCTCTACCTCTTGCTTTTAATATTTGTGCGTGTCTATTTTTCTTCCTTAAACAACAAGTTTACACATAAGCAGAGTTATATAGGGAGAGCCAGATGCCCTGGAGTCATAGTGCAACTAACTTCTGCTGATTGAAAAAGGGGGGAGGTTTGAGGGCAGCTGGGGGGGGACTGGAAGTGTCAAAGGGGGCCAGTGTGGAGTCAACAAGGTGGGAGGATTGAAGAACATTTTTTAAATGGGCAAAGCAGCAGACGGTCTAGAACAGGTCTGCACAACATTTGGCCCGTGGGCCACTTGCGGCTTGCCAAAGAATTTCAGACAACCCACGAAAAATGCAGAGGATGTAAAAGAAAGTAAAGATGTAATGAGTGCTTTGTCTGTCCCCCACTTAAGCCACCTTCCACTAGTCACTTCTGTGCCCGTCATGCAACTTGGTGAATGGGTTGCCACTGTGCACTCTCTTCTGTTTGTCACATGACCAGCGGCAACCAAACATTGTCAGTCTGTCTCTAGTGATTTTCATCAGGGAAAAGGGTGGATGCCATTCTTCTAATTTGGATCCCTTATGGCTACTTTCTGTAAAGAAAAAGACATAGGGAATCCCAAGCATAAGATTCAGACATGCCATTAAAATACCATCTAACCCTCTTTTCCATCTCTGTCTCCTTTGTTTGTAGGGAATGTGGCAAAAAGTGTTGGGACTGCAGTTATGGCAGGGGAGGTTTCCCTTCACATCTTGCTCTGTAATGTTTTATTGACAGCAGGATTACAAATTGCTCCCCTCGTGCTGCATTGGTCCACTGAGCTGTTTCCACCTTTGGTTGCTTTATTGCAATGCTGCAGTCAGCCCATGTCCCAATGCGACAGCAGGTGAGCATGAATGGATTGACACATTGCTACATCTCACGGGAAGAAAAGTTCAGGTGATGTGGCAGAGCATTGTGGGAAAACTGCAATGTGGCAGGACCATATTTTCATAGGGTGTGCTAAAGAAAAGGCAGATTTTTCATGCTTATCTGCTGCAGAAAATTGTGTGAGAATGCTGTGCTGTCCATGCCACATCCCATAATGTGCCATTGTTTGGCAAGCTGCTTTCTAAAAAGGTAAATCTTATGCAGATCGTACCTCATTAAAGAAATGAAAAACATTCTATGATTCTATGATTTCTGTAGTTGGTCTGTTTTGCTAGGTATTTTATGGGAGCAATTCCACAAATTGAAATGTTACTCTAAAGGAGCAACAGCCACCTCAGAGCCCAAAATTCTGCGTTGAGAAACCACAGAGCACTGCAATGCCTCCGCACAGCTCCTGCTCACAATCCACAGCTCTGGCACAAAAGAGTTTATGCTGATGAACTCCCCTTATGGGTGGAGTGTGCCTTGTGGGTTATGTTTCCCACACCGCCCCCCTTGGTGGGACACATAGTCTGCTGCCTCACCTTTGGCTCATAACAGACCTGCTTTTGATTATGACTGGGCATCACTGCTAAGCAGGAACAACCCTTCTGATCTCTCCAATAGCACAGTGGAAGTTTGATGGCAGACAAGCTTTTCTATAGGGCTGTTGTATCATGGCAGCAGTAGGGTAATATGGTGACTACTCTGGAACGGTGTGATATGACTTGTTTGGCCTGATGCTCTTTCCGATGAATTTGTGGGAAAGCATTTTGTGCTGTGATGGTGTTCGATGAGAGCACTGCTGTGCAATGTGACTTTACTGCAGAGCAGGAAGCTCTGGGGTGATTCTTGGTGTCAGTGCTCAAAGGATCGAGCCCAGTACACAGAGGCAGGAGGAGAAAGGAATCAGTTTGTCTTGGCTGTTGCTGCACCAGCACCCACTGAGTGCCAGCAGAACATGTTTGAACAGCAGTTTAATGGGCTGCCAACACGCCCAGGCCGGCTTCATTAGCTAAAAGCCTGTCCTTGCTGGGAGCTTTGCCAAAGTTTAGCAGGAGTTTGGCAGACCACATCCCTGCAGGGGTCGGAGGCAGTGTCTCTGGATAGCTGGGACCAGAGTTGGAGCTTCCCAATGGTGCACGGATGGTGGCAAAATCCAGCAAGGCCAATAAACGGCTCCAGCCTAGTGGTAAGGCCTTAGGCCTTACTGGATACCCTCATCTGCCCATACTGACTGCTTTCCCATCCCTCCGGAAGATGAGCAAGGAGAAGTGGGGCATTGGGTCACAGAGACCGCCATCTATCTTAGTACTGTCCACACTAACTGGCAGCAGGGCCCCAGGGTTTCAGGCAGGGGACATTCCCAGCCCTGCCTGGAGATGCTGGGCTTGAGCCTTCTGCATGCAGAGCAGATGTCCTGCCCCTGAACTGCAGCCCTTCCGAGCCGTGAATGAACTATTGTGGGACTGTATCAGTGGCATGCTTTGGGGGCAGGACCAGTGTTCTGACATGCAGAGCCGACACTCCGGGTGTTGCTCCTGATGGAGGAGAGCAAAATGCAGCCCTCACCCCATTCTCCCCTTCATTCTTCTTTGTGCCTTCCTCCTCCTTGGCATGCCCTCAGCTCCTTGCTCTCTCCAGCACCCCATATTTTGTATATATAGTGGGACCTCAGGTTAAGTACTTAATTCGTTCCGGAGGTCCGTACTTAACCTGAAACTATTCTTAACCTGAAGCACCACTTTAGCTAATGGGGCCTCCTGCTGCTGCCGCGCTGCCAGAGCACGATTTCTGTTCTCAATCTGAAGCAAAGTTCTTAACCTGAAGCACTATTTCTGGGTTAGCGGAGTCTGTAACCTGAAGCGTATGTAACCTGAGGTACCACTGTATTAGTGTGTGAGAGGTGGTGGTGGGGAAGTGCTGATGTTTCTCCCAAGGACATACCATTCCTGTGATGCTTGCTGGGGGAGGGGAGGGAGCTGTTTCCAGCACCTTGCTATCACTGTCCCCCCCTCCCCCACCTGCTGTCAGCAATGCAGAGCCCCAAGGAGCCGCCTTCACATGCCACTGTCTCCGTGGCAGAATTGGTGGCTGCGACTGACTGGGGAGACAAGAAGCTCTTGGTTGTTTAGGAGAGGAGTGGGGTCTTGCCACCAGCTACACAACTCCAAATAGGGATCTGTCCTCCCGCGGCCCCCCCCATTAAAAAAATATGTCATTACTCCAAAGTCAGGGGCCCATCTTGTCATAGTTGGGGGGGATTGAGAGCTGGGAGCCAGGACTCCCTGGATTGCACCCTCAGTCAGAAGCGCGGCTGGTGTTGCTAAGTGAGCTCTTTGGCATGCCAACCGCAAGGCTAATGTAGCGGCAGGTTGCTAGGATATATTCAGGGTGGAGGGGAGGGGGTGTTGGGAGATGACAGTTCGGAGGAGGGGGAGTGACAGCGTGCAGGGCCACTGCCAGGAAGTGTTGCCACAGCAACCAGAAGCATACACAGCACCAACTTCCCAACAGCTGTTTCCATGGTAAGGACCATATTTCTGCCTCCGGTGGCAAAGATCAGCCCCACTCCACCCTGGTGTGGGGGCAACTGATGTTACAGGATGCCCTCAGCCAGTGCCAAGATGCACCTGTTTCTGGGGAGGAGCACATGACTGTTGAATGTGACTATTTGGAATGCCAAACTTAATCCTGCAATTATGACCAAGAACTGCAAGAGATTCAGAGACGCCTGAGCAGGGTTTTATGGCAGGGGATACACCTTTTTCCTCTCAACAGCTGTTGGGAAAAGAAACAGCAAGCTTTTGAATAAGCATGATCTGAGCAAGGCAAAGGGTGTTCTACCCCCTGGAGACAGATTGCCCTCTCTGCTTGGTGTTGCCATTTCCCTGCTCCATCGCTCCCCCCCCCCCCAAGGGGCCGACTTCTGTTAAGTTAGATCTAAAATAAGTACACATATCACAGAAATGGAAGGCCTCCCTGTCTCTGGGCTGTTAAAAAAAGCAAAACAAGAAGTTGCATTGGGGAAGGGAGCTTGCCATGTTTGCTCTGTTCCAGTTGCTTAGCCTCTCTGGGAGTTCCCACTCTGTACCCCAAGCTTTTCAGCTGAGCCTGCCTATCCTACGGCCTCCCCACCCCCCACCCCGCTCCATAAATAGGAAGGCAAGACTGAATCTAAGGTACCTGTGCAGAGGCCAATTAGCAATGATTATGGGTTTCCAGCTGCCCAGCAGGGTGGCAGAAGACTCCATGCTGGCATCTGAAAGGGCATGGCTCTTCCAGGATAGCTAGACTGCTGGGGAGATGCCTGCTCTTGGCTCCTGCCTAAGCTCTGCTTCACTTCCTGCTGCTGCTCAGTCATCTCTTCTCTTCTCTTCTCTTCTCTTCTCTTCTCTTCTCTTCTCTTCTCTTCTCTTCTCTTCTCTTCCCCGGCTCCCAAACTTTCACTGGCAGCGGCAGCAATGATGTTTCCTAAAAAGGACAGGTAGGAAGCAGGTGTTTGAATGGGTGCCAAGCTGAGTAAAGCCATGGAGACCCTACAGTAATGGATTCTTAGATACAAATGGAGCTGGCAGCAGGGAATTCTCTTAAGGTGGAAGGCAGGCAAACTGAGGTTTTGCTGCAGAATATCCCACGTTAAGCAAATTCTGGTAAGCCACAGTCAGAGAGCGGTTACATAAACAAGGTGTCCCGTGCCAGAGGTGCCTGTTCCATTCAAGGAGTATCGCAGTGAAGTGGTCCAGACGAGAAAAGATGAGCTGCAGGAAGCCACCCACTCCAACTGTCACCTGGTGGAAGAGCCCTGTGCCCCCTTTGCATCGGGTTCGGCAGAAGCATCAAATCACCCAAAGGCGGGGGCCAAACTGGTTAGCAAGGCAACTGGGAAAGGCAGGGTGGGTTAGCTAACAGAAGTGGGTACAAGTGGGACCAAACTCAGAGGAAGCATATAGCAGAAAAAGATGGAAGAGCCATGAGCAATGAAATGTGTGTGTCTTCGTTGAACAGAAGCCTAGTTTTCACTGAGGTAATAAAAGCTATTTCTGGACTGTACCATTAAAAACTGCAGGTGGAGGAGGCTAACATGATGGAATTCTTCTCTGCGGAACAATGTACCCTGCATGTGACACACTGGTTTTCTCTGTTAAGGGGACTGAGTGGTTGTTTGGTTGATTGATTGATTGTATAGTGGAACATATAGTGGTGCAGCGGTAAAACTGCTAGCATATTTGCAAAGCTAAGTAGGATCTAGTATGGTTTCAAATTGGATGAGGGACCATGTGTTTCAGGGGGTTGGACTAGATGACCCTCAGGGTGACTTCCACCGCCTTGCCCCATGATTGCGGGGGCCCAGGGCCATATGACATCCCTATGCCCCATGTGATGCGCACATGCCACCACAGAATTTTTTTGGGGGGGTCCAGTCCCTTCATTGAAAATGCTGGGGGGCCTTGGCCCCCACAGACCTGCAGAGATGGCACCCCTGTGATTTGACAAGAAAGGAAAATTTATATAGGTGCAGGAAGGTGAGGAATAGAAGCAACTAAGGAGCCATTGAGCTGCTTAGGCCCAAGAAGGCCCTTGGTTTCCACAGAACTGTAGTAACACACACGGAGTCAGACTTTACCTCAGATGCCAGGTAGTCTACAGGTTGAGCTCACTCCACTATCCAGGTGCTGGTCCAGGACCAGCACAGCCTCTCTTGACTCAGACAATATTTTACTCCAAATCTCTTAATGTCCACCCTTCCCCATGGCTTCATGTAGATTTCAAACAGCAATATAAACCTGTGTAGCCAAGCTATGTCATAAGGCCAAGCTATGGTGACTCAGTGCTATTGTCTGGACATGATCCTGCACATGGGAACAGTACCACAAAATTACTGTGCCCTCCAACTCCCAAACCATGGAGTCAGTCAAGAGCATGGGTAGGCAAACTAAGGCCCGGGGGCCGGATCTGGCCCAATTGCCTTCTAAATCCGGCCCACGGACGGTCCGGGAATCAGTGTGTTTTTACATGAGTAGAATGTGTGCTTTTATTTAAAATGCATCTCTGGGTTATTTGTGGGGCATAGGAATTCATTAATCCCCCCCCAATATAGTCCAGCCCCCCACAAGGTCTGAGGGACAGTGGACCAACCCCCTGCTGAAAAAGTTTGCTGACCCTTGGTCAAGAGTGATGCTGCTGTGGTCAATGGTGCCAAAAGCTGCTGAGAGTTCAAAGAGGATCAACAGAGTTGCATTCCCCTGGTCTTTTCCCCATGCCTTTCTCAGTAAAGATCTTCAATCATGGCAACCAAGGCTAATTTGGTCCCAAACCCAAACCTGAACCTAGACTGGCATGGATCTTGTAATCAAGTTTCTTCCAAGAGTGTCTAAAGCTCAGTGAACACCACTAACAATCACCTTCCCTGAACAGGGGATGTTAGCGTTGGGCTGGTAGTTGCTTAAAACCTCTGGGTCCCATGTGGGTTTCCTGAGGAGTTGGCACTCTCACTTGTCTTTCAAGGCATAAGGCCCTGCCCCATCTGCACCTGGTCACCCTCCCCTCCTTTCTCCTAGCTGCTTGAAATAGGGTGGGGGTGGGGGCATGTAGGAGGCCCATTGTCCAAAGCATCTTGCTGAGATCCTCTGGGTTCACTCTGCAGCAACAGCTGATGAAGTGAGCAGTTGCGGCTGCAGGATGTAGGGTTTCATGGGACGTTGGGAGGGTGCTTTCCCCCAAGATTAGAAGGATTGGGAGTCTCCAGGTGGGCTGTGGGAGTCTCTGAAGGACAGCAGAATTTGTGTGTGTGCCAAAATCAGGGTGTTGGCCACTTCATAGAATCTTTTTAATGATAGTATCCTCTCATTTTCCCTCAAATGTTCCAAAATCTGATTCATCGCAACCAGTTAAATAATTCAACTGAATATTTGAGAGTTGTACATTGAACATCTGGGATATCTCTCCGGAATAAAATAAGTGCACACAAGCATCTTTGTACAAGCTGTTTGTGCACATGTGTGTGTGCACAGGCACATCCACTACAAAGTTGGGAGTGCTCGGGATTGCTCTATACACAACATTACTTCAAAATGCCCACAGTAGCTAAATCAGGTTAAATGTCCAGAGAAGGTCTGAATTTGCATAATTCATTCATTTAAATTACATAATTTGAGGGTTGTGGAATAACTACTGCCATATCCCCTGCTTGCAGGGCTTCTTAGGGAAAAGTAAAGGTATAAATATTTGTATAGGACTAGCAGAAGGTGAGTTTTTCAAGAGTGAGATTGGGGTACCCTGGGAGGAACAAATCTGGGTAGGGAAATGCAGACAAGAGTAGGGGATATTGGTTGGGGTTGGGGGTTGGGTTTTTTTGAGCCCTGGTTTCTATGGAGATGAGAGGCTGGTGTCCTCCAAAGTCTGCATCGTTTCTAAAATAATCCTGCCTGCTCCCCACTCCCCCCAGCTTGTTTCCTGGTTTTAATTAGTAGCTAGTGTGTGAGTCACAGAGAACTGGAGGGAAAGGGTGTAATCAGGGGAGACAATGGGTCTGGGGCGCTCCCTCCTCACACAGAGCCTGAGTACTTGAGGGGGTGTGCAAGTGGGTGCGACATCCGACATCAAGCCAATGTCGTGGTGGAATATGGGAAGCGTGTGGTGCATGCGTGTACGTGGGTGTAGCCAAGGGGGGGGAGCAGGGGGACAGCTTCCACCCTAAATCAATCAAAATCAGTACAAGTCAATACAAATCTGAGAGCCTGACCCCCAGCAAAAGCCTGCCCTCCCCTAACAAAACTCCTGGCTACACCCATGTGCATGGACCTCTGGGGGGATGAGAGTGTAGTACATGCAGGGGAGAGAGAAAAAGGTTGCTATTGTCTTTCATAGAATCATAGAATTGTAGAGTTGGAAGGGACCCCAAGTCCAAGCCCTGCAATGCAAGAATATCAACTGAAAGATCATTGGCAGATGGCCATCCAACCTCTGCTTTAAAAGCTCCAATGAAGGAGAGTTCACTGCCTCCCAAGGGAGTCTGTTCCACTGTTCAGCAGCTCTTACTGTCAGAAAGTTCTTCCTGATGTTTAGTCAAAATCTCATTTCTTCTAACTTGAAGCCATTGCTTCAGGTCCTACCCTCTGGAGCAGGAGAAAGCAAGCTTGGTCCATCTTCCATGTGAGAGCCCATTTGATATTTGAAGATGACTGTCGTATCTCATCTGTCTCCTCTTTTCTAGGCTAAACATACCCAGCTCCCTCAACTGTTCCTTATAAGGCTTGGTTTACAGATCCTTGATCATCTTGGTTGCTCTCCTCCATACATCTCTCAGATTGTGAATATCTTTCTTAAATTGTGGTGCCCAGAATTGGACACAGTATTCCAGGTGTGGTCTGATCAAAGCAGAATAGAGTGGTACTATTATTTCCCTTGACCTGGACACTAGACTTCTGTTGATGCAGCCTAGAATAGCATTAGCTTTTTTTGATGCTGCATCACACTGTTGCCTCATGCTAAGTCTGTGGTCCACTAAGATCCCTAGGCACTTTCCACATGTACTACTGGAAAGCCAGGTGTCCCTCATCTTATATTTGTGCAGCTGGTTGTTCAATGTGTCCCTATTGAAATTCATTGTGTTATCTTGGGCCCAGTTCTCCAACCTGTTACGGTCATATTGAATCCGGATTTTGTCTTCTGCGGTATTAGCTACCACTCCCAGTTTGGTGTTCCCTGCAAATTTGACTAGCAGCCCCTCAAATTCATTCATCTAACTCAAATATGTTGAACAACAATGAGCCCAGGACAGAACGCTGAGGCAGCACCCCACTTGTCTCTTTCTTCCAGGATGATGAGGAACCGTTTGTGAGCACTCTTTGAGTTAGCTACAAATCCATCTAACAGTTACCTCGTCCAGTCCACATTTTACCAGCCTTACTGAAATCAAGATACACTAAGTCCACAGCATTCTACTGATCCACCAAGCTTGTAACTTATCAAAAAAATAAATGAGATTCGACTAGCATGATTTGTTTTGAAGAAACCTATGCTGGGTCTTAGTGATCACAGAATCCTTTTCTAAGTGCTCACAAGCCAACTGTTGAATTATCTATTCTAGGACCTTTTGTGGTATTGACAGCAAGCTGACCAGTCAGTATTTACCTGGGTCTTCTTTGTCCCTCTTTTTGAATATGAGGACAATATTTGCCAACTTCCAGGCTGCAGGGACCTCACCTGTTCTCCACAGATTCTCTGAAGCTCCTTTAGTACCCTTGGAAGCAGCTCATCAAGCTCTGGAGATTTGAATTCATTTAAAGTAGCTAGGTGTTCCCTTTCCACCTCTTCTCCTATCTTGGGCTGTAGCTCCCTCCTTATATCATTTATTCTGTTATCACCAGGTTGGGAACTGCTTTCCTTTTGGATGAAGACAGAGGCAAAGTAGGTTTGATCAGTTACTCCTTCTGTCTGTCGCTCAAAGCATTTCTCCATCTTCTCCATGCAGAGGACCTGTTACTTGCTTGCTCTTCCTCTTACTTTGAACATAGCCAAAGAAAGCTTTTTGTTCTTTTGAACCTTTGGCCTGCCAGACCTTCACCCTGCAGCTGTTGGCTACTCATGTATACTCCTCCTTTGTGATTTCCCCTTTCTTCCATTTATTATACATAGCCTTCTTAACTCTCAGTTCATCTGTAAGCTCCTTATCTTACTTTTCTTTCTTGTTGAAATTGTCTGCCTTTGAGCCTTCAATATTTCACCTTTCTGAAACTTCCATCCATCTTGGACTCCCTTCTCTTTGAGTAGGTATGACTATGGGATCTTACTTAGTAGTTCTTTAAGCTTTTTGAAATCAGCCTTCTTAAAGTCCAAAGTGCATGTCTGACTACACTCAGCTTTCCCTTGGCTTAGTTTCCAGTTGGGACATGAGATGATTGCTACATGTTGTTATTTGCTTTCTCCAGCACATGATCTTGGAGGCTCTGTCCAGCTTGTCATGGCTGTTGTCCTTCATGTGAGGACCACATTTCACTCTGACGGTACATAGTTCAGTAGCTGAGCACAGGCTGTGCATGCCAACAGGCCCAGGTTCAATCTTTGACATCCCTGTCTTGAAGGATTTTAGTGAGCAGGGCAGAGTCTGGAAACCCACCTGCCGAAGAAGATAATACTGAGCTGGGTAATTGACTCAGTATGAAGATGTACATTTTGCAAATGCCAGATAAATTACATGTGCATCTTCCTAATAAAGCTGATGTACATGTAATCTTTTTAAAGTGGTGTTTATTTATGCATCTTAAGTTGTGTAGCTTCACAATATTCACAGCAGTCTTTAGTGAGCATGATTTTGCCTAGACTTGTGTAAGAATGTGGCTGTTGGCGTGTGTGAAAGTGTGTATCTTTGATTATATTATATGTGTATGTGTTATGACATATTTTGTGTATTTTTAAATGTGTCATATCTGTATTGGCTTGCTTGCCTGAGGTGGGAGTTTTTGCGCAGGCGTGCTCAGAATTCACCAGTGAACCTCATCACTACAGCATCTCTGGGGAAATGGGTGGATCAGGTTTCTCTATAGGGATGGCAAAATGGACCTGGAGAAAAGTTGCTGTACATTTTAAGCACATATTAAGTCATCAGGTTAAATCCTATGAACTGGCTCTATGCCTCTGTTTGCAGAAGGACGGCCAGTTATGGTAAAACTGTGTCATTTCTGACACTGCAAGATTTCATGCAAATATGCCCACGCATAACCTCACGCCTTGGCAGGAATCTTCAGGGATAGCTGCATTAGCTTGCTCCTGTCATTACACAAGGGCTTGAGCCTGGGACCATGGACTGATCTGGAACGTTTGTTTGCTCAGAGCTTGCTTTAGATACAGAGGGATACACAACACCAGAACCCATGATTGGCAGGCAGTATATAAAGATTATTGATCAGCCAGGCATGGTACAAGTACAGGAAGCCTGGTCTTCTGCCCTTGCCCAGTCAAGAGAAGTATATTTTACCTGCTACATTTCAGCCCAATTCCAGCTGTTGACATCAGGGCCCTGGGTTGGAGGACACACTCTCTGGGTCTGGATTGAGGTATAGCTGTGCAGAAGCTTCAGCCTGGCTCTACACTAACAAATGGTATGCAGTATTATATTGAGCAAGAGCAAATAATGAAACCCAACTCCATTGGGGAAACGTGAGTAGATTAATGGACCCTTGTGGTGGCAGGAGAGGAAGGGGGACTGCTGTAGTTGACGAACACAAGAAAGCATGTGCTAATGGCAGTTTTTTTCTTTAGCATTAAGAGAGGTTTCTCCCATCTCCACATTTTCTCTGCTATCCTAATTCCTCTATAATGCTGGGGTTTGTGAAAATCTGAGCATTCCCCTATGTGAGTCGGTTGAGACCTTACTTTTCAGGGCTAGCCTACATAAACGGTTGTGGACAATGAGCAGCATGCTTGCATACTAAGCATTAATATGAGAGGAGCTGCTTAAGGATAATAGCAGCAGTGACTTCAAGGGGGACGGGAGGAATGACTGTTCAATGGGTCCAGCTCACTGAAGTTGCTCCAGTAACATGAATGCAATTGAGAAAAGAGGATTATAAATCTTATAAATTGTTATAAGGGAAAAACCCCCTGCTCTTTTCCCCTTATAAGGTATCCAAGAGCCCTCTTTTTAGGTTCTCTGTCAGTAGGAGAAAATAACAGAGGCCAGCCAGAGAATATTGAGAAGCAAGGCAGCTAGTAAGCCTGGTCTTTATTAAACTGTTGCAACAGGATGCTCACCCCCCCCCCCCCATGCAGGAGGGAGGAGGAACCCAGAACACTGGTGTTCAAGTCCTTATATAAACTTTTTAAATACCCCAGCTTCAAACTCCAGACCACCCCCAGAAACATCACAGAAGGGGTGGTCTAAAACAGAATCCTGAGTGTGTTGTTTATCTCCTGTCTGGCAAGTTACCTGGATTGCATTATCTGGGTTTTGGCCGCTCTTTTGTTATTATTACTACTTAATTCCTGAATCTAGGTCACAGGACACGGGCTCACACCCTGTTCATATCTTGAATGTGCCCTTAAGACAGGATTTGTGAGGAAAGACAATGGGGAAGTTTCCCACTTTGACCTTGAAGAGAAATATTTGAGGTCAGTTTGTTCAGGACCTTTTCTGTGGGGTTCAGACATGTGGTTTATATATACAGTTAGGAACATTTTATATATATATATATATGACCTTAAATTTCTTATAACAAAATCAACCTGGGCCAGTTCTATCCCCTGGTGGCAAATTGAACTAAAATAAATGATTGCTTAATAGGGGGCTGAGCACACATTAGGGTTCTTGCGGGACACTTCTCCTGGGGTCATGTCAGAGCTGAGCCTGCAATGATAGCCTTGGGGTTACATTCTGCTAACCATGCTTACTGAGCTTTGGCTCCGAAGTGATCCTTGTGGGTGCTTGTTAGGCTGAAAGAAAGAGAATGGGAGGCTGCCTGCTTCTCACCCATTTAACACAGCTCAATCTCCCTTCCTCAGCATACTCATGGCCACTGGCAGCAAAGGAACTTTCATGGCCCCCCACCAGCTAGGGCCAAGTCTCCCTGAGTAATTGAAACCCACCAGTGCCTCGCCTTATGGATCCATCCCCTCCATGGTGCTGTCAGAAACAGCTCACTTTGCTATCCTGCATGGTGGGGCTGAACAGCACTTGTGTACAGACCTCTGCTGCCAGGGATGTCCTACACATTTCAGGAAATTGCATGTGCTCCCTTCTTGGCTGCGCACGCTGTGTGTGTGTGTGTGTGTGTGTGTGAGAGAGAGAGAGAGAGAGAGAGAGAGATTTGATTCTTCACTATTTTTAGGTAAGGGCAGGGGTCTCTCTACTGAAGATGACGCTTTCCTTTCTTGCCTCTTCCTAAAGTTTGTGCCTCATTCCCCTCAGTCATATGCACATGGACAAACATTGAAAATAAGATACAAATAGCTGGGGCAAGTTGCAGTACAGTGGTACCTTGGGTTAAGAACTTAATTTGTTCTAGAGGTCTGTTGTTAACCTGAAACTGTCCTTAACCTGAAGCACCACTTTAGCTAATGGGGACTCCCGCTGCCTCCGTGCCGCTGCTGCATGATTTCTGTTCTCATCCTGAAGCAAAGTTCTTAACCCGAGGTAATATTTCTGGGTTAGTGGAGTCTGTAACCTGAAGCGTATGTAACCCGAGGTACCACTATACTTTCTCTCTCAAGTTGCATCTAAATCAGCCCTTTTCTCATTTTTCACTTTTATCACTCATTGTTCAGGTATAATAATCTTTGTGCACATCTCATGAAAAAGAGCTTCCTATTTCTAGGCTGTAGAAACTCAAGTTTTGTTACCAACAGCCAAATGGTTAGTTGTGATAGCAAAGATGTTGGCTGTCAAAAGCTGTTACTGGTTTGGGTTTTTTTTGCCAGTACCGTACTGTGCCATCACCCAATGAATGAGACACGGGTATAACAGCCATGTGATTATACAGGATGCAGCTTTTACATTAAAATAACTTACAGGATACAGAGTTGAGTGGAAATCTCTACCACATACAGGACCCATTTAATAATTCCTTAAGATACATCCTTGGGAAGAAAGAGAGCAATTTTGGCTTTTGCACCTATGCTATAATAGGGAACAAAAATATTCTGACATAGAAATACATGGATGGTCATTAATAATTTTTTATTCATTTATATAAAAAATACAAATAGACCACCCATTATACAAAATATCAGGGTGGCATGCAACAAAATTTACAAAAGAGATAAAATACCATTAGAAACAATACAGAGTGATCATAAAAACGATTGGCATATCCTAAGATCTGAAGCCATTGAATAGGCCTGTCAACATGAAGAAGGCTTCAGGAGTCTCCCGAAGGTCAGAAGTGAGGGTGCCTGATGCCTCTGCTAGAAAAGCGTTCTACTGCATGGTGCCAGTGGGCAGCTGAAGTCATTTGGGCTTCTGAAACATGGGGGACAACTAACAGGGTTCGGAAGATCTCAGTGATTGAGCTGGCATCCAAGGGCTCAAGCAGTCCTTAAGATAACTTGGACCCAAGTTCTTCAGGGCTTTGCATAGTAACACAAGAACTTTGGACCTGTCCCAGGAGCATGCAGCTTATTGAATGGAATGCTCCTTTGATGGCTGCAATATGATGCATCATAGAGAAAAAATTCCATGCAATTCACTTGTAGACTCCAAAACAGGGGTTAGGAAACTTTTTCAGCAGGGGGACGGTCCACTCTCCCTCAGACCTTGTGGGGGGCCAGACTATATTCTTTGTGGGGGGGGGAATGAATGAATTCCTATGCCCCACAAATAACCCAGAGATGCATTTTAAATAAAAGGACACATTCTACTCATGTAAAAACACACTGATTCCCGGACTGTCCACGGGCTGGATCCGGCCCCTGGGCCTTAGTTTGCCTACCCATGCTCCAAAACATAACTTTATTGCTAACCTCTTTATTGCTAAATTTCCTAAACTTTTCTTAAAATATGCTAAAGATGCAGGATGGCAATGGGTTTGCTGAACAAACTATGCAATGGAAACCCCAATGACATTCTTACTGGTGAGGTCTGTTTTGTTCTTGATCTATGTTGAATGTAATGTTGGACACCATCCCAGAGCATCTGGGTCTCTCTGACCTAAACTACTGCACAGCTAGATATCAAGCTTTGAACTATGCTGAAAAGGAAGAGGGGGAAGATTAATATCATGCACATGAATTCTCCCTGTTCATGCATTCATTGGCAACACTTGAGCCATAGGTAAGGCTCTGAATTTTCATAAATTGCTCCCGTACAAATGTCCTAATAATACTGATTCTGAATGCAAAATGCAAAATGGTAGGGAGAGCTATAAGATGGGCTGATGTGCTCTGGATTAGTTCCTGCAAAATAAATGTACAAAAATATCTAGTGGATAAAATAAAGCATGGGCATAAACCAACTGCTCCCTGCCAGTAGGGATCCCCACAAGCATTCTCCTGAACCTCTGTTCCACTGAGCCTTACCTTCCTCTCTATCAACCCCCATCCAAGTAGGCAGAAATCCATCAGATGGGTACAAACTGGATGTGCAGGACCCTGCAGAGTGGGATGATTTTAAATCAGCAAGGTAATAAGGGCTGATTTGATCAGTGATTTAATTCCAACTTCAGACTTCACATATTCAGACCCTATTTTAGCGGGACATCACGCATTTCAGAAGCCCACCCCAATTTCTGATTGGCTCTGTGAATGTCTCGCTTTCCCCCACTTAGCCGGTGGTGGCGACTGGCAGAACCAGGAAGTATGCGCCTTTCCCTATCTCTATGACTTGCCTGCCTGGTGCTCATCATCCACCACAGAGACTGCTACCCAGACTCCTCCAAGCTGTTGGCCAGGCTGGTGCCCAGTAAGCTGCCCATGGGCAGGGGGGAAAGACTCCCTGAGGGGATTTCTGCTGGGACTTCCTTAGCGGGTCTCTCTCTCCCTCTCCCCTTCCTGGCTTTAGGGTCTGCCATATACTCTGCATACCTCAGTGCTAGGATCCTCACCCCACCCAAGTGTATTATCCATTGATTGCAATTAAGCGGACTTTATTTTGCAATATTAGAAAGATCTAAGAAAAGAAAGAGCTTGCAAATAAAAAGGATCCCCTAAGCTCTCTCAGTCCTAATTAAAAGTTCTTTGTCTAAGGCCAATGGGCATTTGAAGAGCTAGTGTGGAGGTTAACCAAATGGGTACCTTAGAATGTAAGTTAAAAGACACCGCTCTTGAGTAAGGTCATGGGGAAAACCCCTCCCCATTTTTTTGGGGGGGGTGTGCGGGCAGCGCGGAGCTTGCAGGTGCCTGAAGCGCCGCGTCTCCCCCAGTGTGGCGCCCAATGCTCCCCGCCCGCCCTAGCTACGCCTCTGGGTGTGTCCCGTTTTATACATCTTGAAATCTTAGCAGGCTGAAGAATCCCTAGCAAAGAAAGTGGGAGGAAAGAGTGGAGGAAATGGCTGAAGCACTTGGCACCCCACTTCCCCCCTAAAAGCTTTGCTCCTTTCCTTTGATCACCATACCGCTTGGATTTTCATATTGTATTTCTTTTTGCCATTGTGCAACCCCCAAACCAAGGAGATAATTATACATCCTTTAGAAGGCATCTGAAGGCAGCCCTGTATAGTGAAATTTTTTAATGTTTAATGCTTTATTATGTTTTTAATGTTGGAAGCTGCCCAGCGTGGCTGGGGCAACCCAGTCAGGTGGACAGAGTATAAATAATAAAATTATTGCTGTTGATGTGTATTATTATTGAATAGGATGTCCCTATTTTCCTTGGAGAAATGTTGGAGGGTATGCATGTTTTCTGAAAAAACATGCATACTAATTGGTAGCTTTAACAATTAAAACATGTCTGTTTGTAACTGAGCCTGTACACTAATCAGTAGCATAATCTGAAGCTTCTTGTAGTGCAACCTCATGCCTTTTGCGCTAGAGAATTTTTATTTGCTTAGGGGAGCAATTGTGAAAATAAGGATTTCTTTAGTGACATAGAGCAGGGTTATTAAGAGAGCGTTCCACATTATCAGTGGTGGCTGGTTACAGGGCAGCACACCTAGCTGGGGCTCAGTTGAAAGATTTTTTGGGACCTCCTGTTCTTGTGTCCATGCAAATAAGTTTGTTAGTGCAATGGTGTAAAATGACTGTTGAAAATAGCTAAGCAAAACAGGAATGAAAGGCTCCAACAAAGGAGGTAGTGGGACATTGAGACCAAGTACTGAAAGACCAAAAGCTCTTTAACAAGGTGCAAGCTTTTGTGCATGGGGAAGACTGAGTGTGGTAAACATTGACAGATCATGTACCAGGTCCTTCATCATTTTTAATAGCACACTGCCCAGAAAAGCTGCTGTTCTGGAAATGGCTCCTTTAGGTGGCTTGTGTTGCTCCAGTACAAAAAGCCAAGTCAGACAACCAAGCTGCCTCCAAGTGTCATCTGTATCAATCACCTAAATGATGAGAAAGAAAGAAAGAAAGATTGACTTCTGAAGTGCAAAAAGGGAACTAAAGCAATTGCCTGGGCTCAGTGTCTGCAATACATTTGCAAAGTCAATCTTGTCAGAAGATCCCAATCTGATCCTTGTGGCAAATTAGAGTTACCTGCAGGTGACCTGTCAGAAAAGATTTTGATACTTGTAAGAAAAGTGGTTCTGCTTATCTCTGTCTTTTTCTTTCTGGCCATCAAATATAATTTGCACAGGCATGTTTGGCTAGGCAGGCTAGTAAAAAATGTCCACAGGCTAGCAACTTTTTTTGGACTTAATTTTCAAGACTAGTAACATTATCATGCCATTCTCACTGTATTCAGTTTTACGCCCACAGACATCATCTGCATAATAGACTATAAATGCCATACTTCACTCATCTCCAAAACGCACACTTTATGTTCTTGCATAAGGGGTGCATCCATCATGGACATCTTTCTGTGCAACTCTTGTTCATTTGCAATGCAGTTTTATGCATGAGAACTTCCCAGTAGACAGTATGCAACAGGGTCTCCAAGACATGCCTAGAAGCCCCTCTCATGGAATCTACACATGCTCATTTTTGTACACACATGTGCAGACATGCATTTGAATGCCAAGCTATTTATTCACCAACAGCTCCATTTCAAAAGCCAGCTCAGGTTGCTTAGTAACAATGTTATAGTTTGCTGCTCGCTTACAAAGCTTCATGTACTTTAAAAGTGAGGGAATTAATAGCTGAGGACATTCTAAACCTTGTGTTGCCTATCTTAAAAACACGTTTTAAAAAACCCTCTTCCAAAGCAAGGAAGCACAACATTCCAACATAGCAAATACTTTGCCTGGGTGGCCATTTTGTACAAGAAATGTAAAGTGCCCCCTTCAGACATGCCATTTAGAAAGAGCCAGGAGCCGGCCTGAGTTTCTTATTACATCTGACTATTCTTTAGAAGCAACTATACATGTATCTGACAAACTTGCCGGTTCTACAAACTGAATGGCAATTGTTACATGCACTAGGAATGCATAGGAAAGAGTGGTTGTGGAGAGGGGAGTGGGGTGGGGGTGGTTTCAGCTCTTGCATTGCCTTTCTCCTGTCCTTAACCCTTCCTGCCTACCTCGATTCTGCCCCTTCCCCATCCATCATCCACTCACGTTGTCAGCACCCACATTCTGTTGTCTTCACTCCCACCTCATCTCCGTGCAGTAGCATTATTCATCTTTGAAATGTTCAGTGCACAACAGCTCAGAGTATGACAAAAGGGACAATGTTGGGAACTGGCTATTATAGAGGTTGTATAGAGCTATTTTGCAAAACGCTTGACCATCTTTGTATTTACCCTCACACCAAGATCATTGCTGTTCTCATTTTACAGATGGGGAACTGAGTCTGGCAGAGAGTGACTTGCCCAAGCCCGTACATAAAGGCCATAGCAGTCGGGCTCACAAGATTCAGCATCCGCTGGGCACACTTAAGCCTCTTGTTTTGTGTCCTGTTCTTAGTGGATCCCGTGAGAGCACTCCTTCCTCTTCTGCCTGATGTTCTTCCAAATATTCAAAAACTCTCAACAGATCCCCCTTTAATCTGTCCTCTGGGCTAAACGTGCCAGTTTCCTCCAGCCTTTCCTCCTGCGATTTGTCTTCTAGACATTTGTCATCCTCACAGCTCTTCTCTGAATCCTTTCCAGTTGATCAGTATCCCTTTTGAATTGTGATGCTGAGAAATGAACACTGTTCTTCAAAGGAGATCTTACCTGACCCC